ACCCAGCATTGATACTGCGTCATCTCCCCCCCTCCCCCCACACCCACCCAATTCAACTTTGCTAACCAGTCAGACTTGCATAGTTTTGACACTGTCTGCCTTGCTTTTTAGGATACAACTACTTTAGACACATTTTGTCAGGAGTAGTCTAGCATGCATGATTGAATCATTTCAAACTATGGCTGTATTCTATAGGTCTAGATCTCGTCACGGTAGAGATATTTAACACATAACACCTTAGCCCGCCTAGGATTGCCCAGGAATTTCCTTACGCGCTCCACCCTAACTCGCCTGCTCCGACAAGGCATCTTTAGAAACAAAGTCTTGCCTTAACGAGAGTCTGGGGCCAAGATTTTGTCATACATAGTTATAGCAAAATGTTGCTTCTTCCGCTTGATACTGAAACGAAAGCTGTCACACATAATTTGTCTGGAAAAATAAGCAACAGTTCACCAAGTGTGTACGGTTGAATCATTTGGTATGGCTGTATCCTATAGCTTGTGTCATGTTAGCGATATTTGAACTGCCTTTCACAAAATCATGTGACATAACGGTATGTCGCACTCTCACAAAGAGGTCACTGCACTGAAAAGCAAAATTGTTTTATCTATACGGGCTGTTCGAGTGTTGTACAAGCATTATTTGAAATTGTTCAAAATAATATATAGGGGTTGAACAGACAGAATCAGCAGACTTTAATAAAAATAATCCAATGCATACCGTGTTTAAATCAATAACATCAAAATATGGCTATACAAAAATAACGACGTCTTTGCTTTAAATAATAAAAAAAAAAATCATGTGGCAATAAAATGGCAAATAGGCAATCAAGTTTATCTGTACAGAAATGAGCTCAGGGTTGGGGACAAGACGACGGGAGAGGAAGGTGGTATGTCACTTGAACCGCGGCCGCCATTTGAACAAAAAGTTTGCCTGCCCCAGACTGTTCCAGCACTGCTGTCTTGTGCGTTCAGTCAGGCAACAGGCAAGAGGGCAGGGCTGAGCATGTGGTATATTGTAAGTTGCTAAAAAAAAATTGGGGGGACTGGGACTGAAGGGGCTGAGCAACAACGGAAACATTTTGTCTTGAGAAAATAGGAAAGCAGGTACACAACACTCCACACCATATTCCTGGACAAGAGACAACTCCTGTCCAGCACTATTATTGCTTGTTGTTTTATTTATTTTTCGTAGAAAAAAAAAAAAATTAAAACAGATTTTGTGACTGAGAAAAGCCAACAATTTACATTTAAATGACACACGGCAGAAGAGTGAAAAGTGATGAATGATGGAAAACATGGGGGGAAAGGGGAAGGGAGGCTACAGAAGCAACAGGCGCACTTTTTGCTTTTTCACGAGTGACCAGCCTTTCTATTGCCTAAAACCTGTATTGTGAAACAACATTGACCACTCTAGCAACCACGCAACATCCGGCCACCCACCAACTGACGAGTGGCAGTTGCATCAGCGCCTAGTATTCCATTCAGTGTGAAAAGGTAATTCAGAGCTGTTGACTAAACAGCAGCAACCATGCAAAACAAGCAACACTTCCACCAAACTGAATTGTTCTCCTATTCCATACACCAAAACTGTGACCTTTCTTCCATACAATACCCATGAACCAGTATTGTTCCCTGACTCAACTGCATAGTAAAAATGACGGTCAAATGGCAGTGCTGTGGGGAGGATATACCACACCCGTGGTTTCAGTTGACATAAAGCAGCAGGACAAGAATTACTGAGTGCCATCAAAATGTGTAGGAGACGACTGGCGTATCCGAACACTTTATATGACTGCAAACCATAACACTTTCACTCATTTTGGCTCATATTTCACACTATATCTTTCACAAAAAAACCACACAAGACATGTATCAGATATCCCAAGCAGACAAACAGCCGTGTCACCCTCATCTTCGACTGAGGTGTTCAGGTAGGCCTTCAAAGCACAACGAACATGTTGTGATGAACTACAACTTATCGCTCAGACCAGCTGGTAAAGACAAAAGAAACGGAGCCGAACCCCGGAATGAACACACAATCTCCCAACGATAAAAATGTAACAGAACCAACATGCCCAAGGATGGTTTAATGAATATAACCATCACTATACCGCGGTCATAACGACGCCAGCATCTTTATATATGGAGGTCAATGCTGCGTCTGCATGCATGAACACTACATACATATTGAAAAAACCCGTTTTCTTGATTCTCAAAGAGAGGCATTTTTGACACAAAAGACTCGATCATACAGTGAAGATTCAACATCAGCTTGTTAATAAATGAGCCAGAAACTGTTTTAAAAAATGAAGCAAATCTAAAACCAATCCGTTGACTCAAATAAATGGAAGTCGGGAACTGTAGTTAGAAAGGGGAATTCCATTGCACTGACAACAAATGGATCATTAAAAAAAATTAGACAAAAGAAAAAGGGCAACAGATATATGCACAAGTAGAGCAAGCAAACCGCTCCACCACTGGGCCTATTTAAAACAGTAAAGACGGCCTTGCAGAAATGGTGACAGCCTAAAAAAATTCTAAAAGCAATATGAAACTAACTTTTAGGATAAACATAGCAGAGATCAAGTTTTCTATCCATCATCTGAGGCATTTTGTAATGCCCGTATACTGAGTACTGTTCCATTTCCTATTAAGCAAATTTTCAACTTTCTATGACAATGAGTGCAAATGCAACGAAACATTGCATAGTAATATAAACCACCCTCCTCAAAACCAAATAACCAAGAGCTACAGGAGGGTGAGGAAAGGTTGTTACACCAATAGTTTGTGCCTCAGAAAACTATGTGGGGCTGTGATGATATACTTGTAGCAAACTGGGGAATGTGAGTATATTGGATGGTTATAAGGACTTCGTTTCACAAACAGGAAAAGGACATGTTAATAAAATAAGGAGGAAAAAGTCAACTGAAGGAGTTTTAACTCTGGTTACACGTATTAATGTAAGCTCTGCTGAGAAAACGAGGAAAGAATATGCACAATATTTTTAAAAATACCAAGCAAGAGAATCCACACATACAGCGCACACTGAGATGGGCAACTAACCAACACGCGGCTCTACCCATAAATAACCCAAATTAAGATGCATAAGCCTGTTGAAATGTTGATTTTTTACCCCCCCCCCCCCCCAATCTTTTAAAACAAAGATCAAGAACGACTCCTCCTACTCCAAACTGTATTGCTTGCAAAAGAGTTCCTCTAGTTCCACATACACACATGACTGCATATCCATTTAAATGAAAAGACTAACTCTTGCGACAGGACATGTTTCCATTTTTATGTAGATCACTAAAATAAATTCCAATTTTATCTGTAACATTTCACTATTATTTCAAATAGAATTCATAATTAAGTACCAATCTGGACTGGATCGGCAGCAACACTATTTCTGTCTCTGAAGTAGTTCCAATACTAATAATAGACACCCCCCCCTCCCAACTAAAAACAAAGCCAAAAATCCTTCCAAAGTGCAGTGCATAGTAGATGATGCTACCATGAAGTGGAAGCACATCACAACCACAAAAGCTCTATTGAGTTGAGAGTTAAAGAAAGAAGACACAAAAATGGCCTCTTGGTGCTCAGAGATTGCATGACAGACAGGAACAGAAAATGGACAAGTAAAGGAATAAGACATACCAGAGACGCCTGTCACCAGACAGAGCATTAAAACAGAACCTACATGAAAATGAGCCAATAGCAGATCATAAGCAGTCGACACCTTTAACGCGATCAGGAAATATTATGAGGCGGCATTAAAACATCATCAAACAAGTCAAAATGAACTCATAACTATTGCACCATTCTTCAAGTCAGACCTCTCTTTCTTCCAAACAACATTATTTTTCCCTGTCAACTACTCATTTTTCCTTTGGCTGTGGTATGAACAAGAGGAATAAGAAACAGTAACACATCATAAAATTGGTTATCATGTAGACATGACATACACTCAAGGACAAAAACAAGAGCATATGTCAATAGCATCAAGATACATCGCAAAGTATGTATTCCGCTCATATCATAAAAACATATTTTATACCATTGTGGCTTTCTTTAGGGCACTAGAAATCATGGGTTGAACAATCATATTCATGCAATATGAACAATTGAAACATCTGCGATCAAAAGGAAAGAAAATTATGAGATTTTTGTTAATTTGCTTTTGAGCTGTCAGAAATACTTTCCTTACAGTTTAGACACCATTTGTAAAACAACACATAACAATATGCACCAATGCACTGTTCAGGATGAAAACATGAGTAAATATTATCTATAATCTATATAAATTTAAACTTTTTTCTCACCGATAATGCTACAAGGATGTATAAATACAAAGTCAAGAGAAAAAAAAAAGTAAAAAATTTTAATTCAAAATCGAAACAGAGGGAAAATATGAACCATCAGGAAAAAATATAGGCAAGGACTGGGACTTGAAAGGTTCTGCTTTGAGGGAACATTAGGTCAAGGGTTGCCACAGCAGTCCAGGAAAATTGAGCCAGATACATAATAACAAGAAAGTCTAAAATTTTCTCACTTTTGAAAAAGCCTGGGACACAAGCTGAACTACTAGTCGAGAGTAATCCTAGCAACTAGTCAAAACACTCAAGAGATGGAAGGAATAGCAGGATCAGAACAACTTGCTATGCTAGTATGTTGTTAAAAAATTGTTCATGAGAAAGGTGTCTATATTATACTACAAAGCATGTTATGACATTGGTATCTTTTTACCCAGCAGCCAAAACATTGGTTAATCACTGAACATTCAATTTTTTTCCTTTATTATTTAAAAAATTTTTTTTTTTTTAAGGGGTGCACAATATTCTATAGCAGTTGCAGTGCTAGCATTCTAGAGTTTCCTTTGAAAAGCAAAAATGAAAAGATCAAGATAAAAAAGAAAAAGAAAAACCACTATACTAATTTCGGCGTTAGACCATGTCATACTCAGCAGGATCGTTTTGATAAATAGCGGCGCGATAACTGTACCTATCTGACAGGCTCCTTTGCACAGGTTTGCCAGCAGACCCTTGCTTAACCCCTGCCACTTGGTTCACGGGAATGTGCGAGGGTCCTGCCCCCATTTCCTCATACTCTCCTATGGTCGTCTCTGCTAAAGAAGGCTCTAACTCGGGATATGCTGACAGCTTGCCTTGCAGCAAATACACATACGTTTTGAACCTCTTAATCTGAAACACAAAAATAAAAATAAAATTACGTTGGGGTCATCCCATTCGTGTAAAAATCATTTTGATAAATTTTAAACACAGCAAGGACAATGAGAAATGTCACATTAACATTCACTCTTCCTGACCTTGATAACATATATTCATGCAATTCTCTTTCTGTAGTCTTGACAGACAAAAATAGTTTTAAAAGGAGCAAACAGGACATGATCAGAAGTCCCCCAATCTCCATCCTCTGTAAAGTTATCGGTTTCAAATAGCAGCCGTTTCTCCATTATGAAACCAGTGAATTTCCTCTTCCTTGGGTTTTAGTATGACGTTAGTATTGACATTCACCATGTGAGCAAAGGGAAGAATCTAAGGTGCCCACAAAAACTTAGTTTTGTACTTCTTTTTTACATTCAGTTTACATTTCTGCCTGGGCTAAAAAATAAATTTTCCGTTCTTCTTTACCAAACATTACAAGCACAAAGCTCATTGTGAAGTTTTCTCTGCACCAATAAGCAATGCATTTCACCTACAATGGTGAAACAATAATTTTAAAGGTAAATGTATACTTGAGGAACATGCACACAGTCTAAAACAATTTGAAATTTCAGACCTCATAAATATAGTCAATTTTTAATTCCCACACAATCAACCGTGTATTCGCATAATACCCCATATTTGTTCCCTTACCTCAAACTCTAAATAGGTCTCCTTCTCTAAATAATCCTGAATGATGGAAGTTTTTGAGCCTTTCTCTGGTATGGCAACCCGGTGCAGCCGGAGCTCCTGTTCAAGTTCCTCCACCTTCAGCTCATGATTCTGTAGCTGCTCTCTCTAAACAAACAAATAAACACAGAGAAGTATTAATAAAAATAATGATGAAAAAATAAAAATATTTCCACAAATTTTGCTTGAGTTTGAGTAAAGACAAGCACACTGACAAAACACTGAAGTCATTCAGTGCCCAGAAAGAAGAAACAGGACCTCCAAAGTTAGTGCTTGGGGGATAGTTAACAAGTGATATTTCCCATATTAAGTCAGAGACAGATTATGACAATAGCAAAACTGCAAAAAAGTAGAAAAAGCACAGCATATCAAAATACCTACCAACTAACAGCTGGTGAAGATTGTATTTCTTAAAGTTATAGTAGAAAAGAAACAATCAGTTAAAACCATCAATTCATAAGTAGCTTGGCATTTTCATCGCCGACATTACTAGGGGCACTTGATAACAAAGTAACCATAAAAGATCCCCTCATTATACTCCGAGACAGTATACATTTTTAAATAGAAAAAAGTAACCGTTTTTCGATTACTTTTTTTTGTTGTGACACACAAATCATAACCCAACTTCCCAACTAACAATAGAACTTATTCAACATATGTGACTTTCCAATCTAACCCCCCCCCCCCCCCGAAATCAACACAATTTTTGCTCACCAGATTACACTTGGTAAAAGATGACGGCAATAGAGGTCTCTGGAACTTTGCTCTTGAGCCAACCGCCCCAGGCAGAGGTGGGGCCGAGAGAGAAGCAGCTACCAAATTGATAGTGTCCACCCACTCCTGGAGCTCTTTAGGATTCCTGTGGAGCAAAAATTTAACTGAAGTTTTTGGGGGTTTTTGGGCTTTTTTTTTATGGCACTTGCAACTGCATAAGGTCATATGAGTGCACGGGACACACCAAAAATTTTCAGTAGGTAGGGAACTTTGAATTCTGCCCGGGTGGCGCCGAAGCCTACTCTTATCGATTTTTTATTTTACCAAGGGATCTTAAAAATGTGCAACTTGCACACAGGACCTCTGAGATTTTTCGCCCTTGTCTGAGAAGGCTAGGTGTAGATCTTTCCTACCAAAAGATCAGGGGTGTGGCTGAAAGACAGCAGTAAGAAGTAGAACGGCTGCAGAAAGAGTCAGGAGCCAAGAGGAGGGGGCAGAGAGTGGAGACGAAAGCAGACAACAGAACATTGCTAGAGAGCAGGAAAGGAGGTGAAAGGAGACAATTTTAGAGGTAGCTTCCCAGATTCGAACCTGGGACCTTTGAATGAGAGGCCAAAACTGTAACCTCTTGGCTACGAGAGCCGCCTGACTGAAGTATGGTGGTACAAATTTTATTCATTCTATAAAAGGAGTAACAAAGTTCACAAAACCACATCCTTAACTGATTCCGTCCATTCGGCCGCTGACAGCGGCTCTGAGTTTTTCCGCTGCCTCCATTCAACCGCTGTGAGCGGCTCAACGAAATCCGAAACAAAGGTGCACTTTTTAACATAGTTCCAACTTTTTAAGTTGTCGAAAGGAAGTAGAACTTGTAAACAAACCTGACCTCAATCTCTGAGAGCCAATATCGATTGAAACTCCGCGAAATTCTTGCAAAAATCGCTGTTTTGTTGTCGCGATGTAAGCTAGATCTAAGGGTAAACAACACGGAGCCTGGTATAATAAAAAGGCCCTTCAAAGAAAGATATTCAACTAAATTTGTGAAATTCTTGCATAAATGTGTGCTAGGGTGATATCGCTACAATGTTGTGTTGATTCCTATGGATTATAAGGACTTGTAGAGCTGAGAAAATGCCGTAAGTCGAAATTTTCGAAGAGCTGTTGCGCAATTTTTTTTCTCATTCATTTTTGTCTGAAGGAAAATGCAATACAAACAGATTATAGGTCATTGTTATTGATATAAACAGATTCTTCTATTTATTCCCATCAGTTTGGTATATGACAATACCTATTAGAGTAATAGAGCTTCACAGTAATGCATTAAATAGATGCACCCCAGGTCTAAACCTGAAAACAGGGAAAAATAATTCTGTCCAGAGCCTGGAAAAATCATGGACGGAATCAGTAAACAATCATTTTTTTTTTACAGATAAAGATGTTCACATTCACATACTTGGAATAGTAAGATAGACGCAACTAACAATCTTTCATATCATTTAAGTTTCAACTATATCACTAGGTTATCACAAAAAGTGAGTTCACTGTAATCAAGACGCGTTCACAACTCAGTAGGACTCAATATCGATGACTGAGAGCGGACGGACGGGTTCGTTACTTGCGGACTCAGTCAGAGTGAGCGGATAACGGACGGCCATGCGGGAGGACGGCGAGCCTCAAGACAGTTCCTTTTTTCTGTCAGCTCCACAATTTTATTCTCTCAGTGAGCAGACAAACTCTAGTCTAGCACCAGACAAGAGCGAGCGGACTGCAAACCTCAAGTCAGTTAGTTTTTTGGTCCGCTCCACAATTTTATATACTGAGTGGGCGGGTGAACGGACTAACTCTAGCAGACGAGACACTCGACCGGAGGTTAGGCCTATCTATAGTTTGTTAATTAGGCCTAGTGTTTCAAGCCACTAGCGGTGCCACAGGAAGTGAGAGAGGCTGGTGACATAGCACTATGTGTGTGAGTAACCTTTCACCCTGTGTGTGGGTCACACTGTGTACATTCTAATTTATCGTCAAGATGAAGTTTAAACAATTCCCAAGGGACATTTTAGGGGGTGGGTGGTGGTGGTAGAGAAATTTCTGCCACGAACGCCTAGCTACAATGTGGGACAGGAAGGTGATTTTCTTTTCAGGGAGGGGAGGAAAGGAGAGTGAGTAATTTTAGCATGCAATGGAAGAAGTCGCTCCGCCCACTCGAATGCACAGTCTCTCCGTCCGCACGCTCACTAAAGGAACTGTCGTCTCTGCATCCGATGTGTAGCGAGTAGCGGACGGATCTTCACAAGCGGACGCTGATTTAGCGAGCCCGACCCAACTCTACTGAGACGCCTTCCATCCCTCTGCCCCCAACCCCCACCCAATGCAGCACCAAAAGATCTGGAGCTCATAGAAGTGATTTCCTTTTTTTTAACGATCAGGTTGGTGCACCAGAAATAAACAAGTTAAAACATTTTTTCAAACTTTTGTGGAATCAAATCACCTCAAAATATGATGTAAACCGGGGGGGGGGGGGGGGAAAGGAGGCGTGCAACCCAAAACTGAAAAAAAAGGCTCAATTAAAATTTTAAAAACCAAACAGCACTCAGCAACAAAATGAAGGAAGCCGTTTCAACCCTAAGAGCAACTATGATCAACTACTCACCCTGTCTGGAAAAGAAATTCTGCCCAGTCCGCAGTCTGAAGGCGAAAAACGTGCTGTTTCTTTGCGTAATCTGCTGCTTTTGTTGCTAGGGAGTGGTGAATGCGGATTGCATTGTGAGAGCTCTCCACAAACTGCCCTTTGCTGAAGTGATGCTCGTCTTTGTATTGGTACAAAATCATATCCCGCAGCACAGAATACATCATTTTCCATCCACGCTTGCCAAATGGTGCTGGAAATTTATAGAAAAAAGAATAACTGACTGTACTGAAATATAATACCTAACTACTGTAAGAACATAACACTTTCTAAAGGAATATATTTGAAAAGTAAAACTGTTCAAAAATGCCTTGGAAAATCTTCAGTCTGATTCATGGTATAAAAGTCACACCGAACCATCTCCCCTTATGGCATAACTATCTGCTAATACATGAATCAACATAAAGTTTGTGCCAGTTTTACTATCAAAGCAGAGACCCTATAGAAAATTCGAATAGCTGGTGTACTTACTTTTCCTCTTCTCCGGTTCCATGCAACATTTACGCATCACATAACCTTTCTTGTATTCTGTGGCTTTGCTAGGATCTGGCACCTGCAAACATAAGATGGTCATGTACAGTCCTAAACACAGCCAGGTTACTAGCATGCACCACTTATGGTAACTACTTTCTAAACTAGTTTGACTTAATTATTCCATTTTATTTCTGAGTATTCTACTCAAATAACTTGAATCACTTACTCCTCTTGGAATTACAAAGCAGTAATAACTCTCTATACAGAGAAAACCAGCATAAGCAGTTGCTTCTACAGTCCAGTACAGAAAACTCACACAAGTTGTGGATTGACAACTGTGTTTGACACATCCATAACACAGGTTAACCGATAACAATAAATTAAAGAGATGGCAGTTGGAGGCGGGGAATGGCAAATTGTACAAACTCTGCACAATTTACAGTTTTCCGTGTTATCTGTGCTCGACAGTACTTTCTTTACAATTGAAAATAGAAGTGTATCCACGGGACAGAAGATCTGAAGCGCCTATTACAAAATAGAAAAAAAATCCCATAATAAGGCAAGACCAAGTTGAAAAGTTGTCCAAAAATAATGGCTTTAAACTATTTTTTTTTCCAAGCTAATTGTATTAACCCTGTCAATGTCTGCACCGTGCGAACTCTACAACATTTAAATAAATAACAACACAGTGACAGAAAAAAGTCAGACATAACATCAGCAATACGCCGAGTATCCTAAGGACATTCTTATTTGCTTTTATACATGCAGCTTTTAATCTCTATTTAACAGCCGGCGCTTACATTTTTCATAAGAGGAACAGGAAACCAATAGCTCAATTCTGGAGTATTTTACCACGATGCACAGCCATAAAATACATCTACAAACTTTTAAGTTCTAAATTTAAAAAATCTGGTTTCGCCAAAATCTTAGAAATAAAATGAATGCTACCTTCGTTAAAATTTTCAGGTCCGAATAGTGTGGAGCTTCTACTAAAAAGTGACGCAAATATCGGTGTCACTAAAATTATAGATTTTAATTTATCGAAGCTGACTAAGGTAAATCACCTCAAGGAAGGGATTGCTCCCTAAAGCCTGTGGCCCTGGTGACTGTGGAGGTACTGCCTGGTCCTGTCCTTGACCCTGGCTGTCCATTTCTGGCATGTCCTCATCACTGAAACGGATATAACACACTAAATCCAGCAACACAAGAAAGCTCACTTGTATTTGTTTTAGTAAGGTTTTATGGCACTTGCAACTGCATAGGGTCATATGAGCGCCAAGGAGTGGATGTCAACAGAGAAGTCCAAACGGAGAATCAGGCTTACTCGGCTCACCTTTCTAGCCTCAACAGCACAAAGTCTGCTTCGACTATTAAGGCATCCCGGAAATAGCAGTTCACAAGAGAGTGACAAACGTACAATAGAAGTAGAGAAAAAAATGACGATAGTAAAGATGAGGAAAGGAAAAGCAGCAGTTCCCTCTATGTTGTTCCGGCACAGTATAAGCATGACATTGATAAATCAGCCCATTTACAATTCTGCTGTGCATAAGAGCATGTTAATATCTCCCCTTTGGGAATGGTATAAAGACACTTCAGTCAGTAACACTGCCCTAGGAGGAGAAGAAAGCTCACTTGAACTTGAAAAGACCATAAAAAATTCAGGGGCATAGAAAACAACACATTTTTTATGCAGATTGCAATTACTGCAAACTTTTAAAGTTTAGTTTTAGTAGAGGGTTTTACGGCGCTCACAACTGCATAAGGTCATGTGAGCGCCAAGGGGTGGATGTCAACAGAGAGGTCTTTACAGGGAATCAGACTTACTCTGCTCACCTGTCTAGCTTCAACAGCACAAAGTCTGTTTCGACTATCAAGGCACCCAGGAAATAGAGGGTCACAAGAGTGTGACAACATACAAAAGAAGTAGAGGAAAATGACGATAGTAAGGATTAGGAAAGAAAAAGCAGCAGTTCCCTGTTGTAATTCAGGCACAGTTATGAGCATGACATGGTTGGATCAGCCCATTTACAATTCTACTGTGCATTAGAACGAGAAATGCCCCCCCCCCCTTGGGAATGGCCTAAAGACACTTCAGTCAGTGGCATCGCCCCCGGGGGGTGAGAAAACTTTTTGCCCTATTTCATTGTAACTAGTATTTAAGCACAACCACTAGAACAGTATCAACAGTTTTATAAAGTCAAAAAAAAATCATGGCTAAAATTGTGAACAACTACACAAAATACTGCTCAAAAGTCTCTCAGCCCAACTAAAGTAAAAAACAAAGAAGTAGTCTTGTTAGCAATAAACCCACAAATATAAACCAACAGCAAAAAGGCACACTTTTCTCAGATCTGATCCGTAAAATGAAACCCTAAAACACTTACACTGCCCATTCTATAGTACCAGTCTTGATTGCTTGGTAAATAGCCTTGAGCACTTCTTTTGGGAAGTTTTCACCATCGTTGAGTCCTGACAGGTTTTCGATAAATTCCTGGCAAGTCATTCTTCGACGAACATTCTGCAAAATTGAAGATTTGCAATATGAGTTCAACGCTGAAACTATGTGCTTATTCCAAACTGCCATCACATCACTTATTGCTTGCATAGAAAAAAAAAGAGGAAAAGAATAAGAAGGGCGTATTTAGAATGTGCTGGGGGGGGGGGGGGGGGGGGGGGGGGAGAGAGGAGAGATAGCTTTAGTAAGGTTTTACGGCGCTCGCAACTGCATAAGAGAGAGAAAGAGAAAGAAAGAGAGAGAAAAGAGAGAGAGAGAGGGGAAAGAGAGCATAAATGACGTTCCAAAGTGAGAATGTGGCTGACTGAAGCCATTGGTGTCAATTTCCATTATATTATTTTTATCACTCAAACCATGAGAGAGGGGGCTCTTGTGGCCTAGAGGTTAAGGTGTTGGCCTCTCATTCAAAGGTCCCGGGTTCGAATCCGGGTAGCGACCGAAAAGTTTTCTTCTCTTAATTTGTCTCCTTTCACCTCATTTCCTGCTCTCTAGCAATGTTCTGTCGTCTGCTTTCATCTCCTCTTTCTGCCCCCACCCCTTCACCTCCTTTGCCCCTTCCTCTGGGCTCCTGATTCTTTCTGAAGCCTTTCTACTGCTACTCCTTCGCTTCTTCTAACTGCTGTCTTTCAGCCACACTCCTGATCTTCTCGTAGGAAAGATCTACACCTAGCCTTCCCGGACAAGGGCGGAAAATCTCGGAGGACCCGTGTGCAAGTTGCACACGTTAAAGATCCCTTGGTGGTAAAATCGATAAGAGTAGGCTTCGGCCAGCCACCAGGGAAAAATTCAAAATTTCCTACCAACTGAAAATATTAGGTGTGTCCCGCGCGCTCATACGACCTAATGCAGTTGCGAGCGCCGTAAAACACTTTACAAAAACAAACCATGAGAAGCAATCAAAAGCACTGGACATTCTGTTTTTTCCTCCAACACTGAATTAAGAGATTGGGCACGTCTTAAACAAGTATCCGCCTCTTAAAAAAACTAAGTGTTGACAGGGGCGTTAAAACCATACCATTTAAAAAACCATAGGTCTCAAGACTGAGGACATACCCTTGAATGTAGGTCTGAGTGGAGTAACATTATTGCACATGTCAGAGTGTGGCAAGCATCTGGAACAGAAAAGATAAGATAGGATAACAATTTATTGATCACCACAAAAAGAAATTAGTTGCTGTGTGGTAAATATAATATATCATGTATATATATATGCACATGTACTCCACAGCACACACACACACACACAAATAGTCACTAGATGGAATCAGAAAATAATATTATTCTAATAGCTCGTACTGGTGACAGTATGAATTACTTTTTAATAACTACTAATTCCAGTTCTTTTAAAAAATAAAATGTTTTGAACTAATTAAAAGATGTCTGATATTCTGAATTCAATAGGTGTTTGGTGTCAGCAATGATCATCTTTGCTGCTTTCGTAAAATTGATGTTGTAAAGTTCAGGGACAGAGATGAGTGGACTATTTATAGTCTCATTAGCTTAGAGGATGTGGAACACAGCATTTTCTATGCTCTTGCGTTTTTATTGAGTCAGCATGACAACAACAACATATTCAAAAAATTTACTAGATTCTAGTGGATGTTTTATGCCCTCATTGACACAATTTTGATAATTTAGCAGGTGGCTGCTTTGACCCCCCTCTGTAAGGGCCAACCCAGGCTGAGGGGGAGACAATGCCCCAGCACACCGACAGAACTATCTATTCGATAAAAACTTCCCTATGCAGGAATAAAACATCTTTTGTGTGCAACAGCAAAGTGCTTACTCCCAACACAATAGTTGTCAGTCCATTTTAGTAAGATTTTTACTGCTCTTGAAATTACATTAGCTCATATGAACACACGGAAAACAAGCTGGCTGTTTTCACATTTGTTCAATTTTGATGTGAACAGACTATAATTTTAGTCACACACACAAATACAGAGAAAGAGCTTATTGAGCAAACCAAAATAAAGCATCCATCATCATAACAATGAATCTCCTAATCCTATAAAGCTGGGCATAGGAGATGGCTAGTCTCTTTGCCATGGCACCTACATGCAGAAGGAAATCAATATTCATTTTACCAAGCCAAATGCTCATAAACATCAACTGCCACAATGAACATGCATGACCAGTCATTTGATTTCAAGTATATGGTTGAACACATTACATGGAGGGGGGGGGGGGAGAGAAGAGAGATAATAATAGAAATACCATTGGAACCCTTCATCCAAGCACAATCCCTATTGTGAAGTGAAAAAAAGATAATATGAAGAGTTAAATCTCTTCACTGCTGTGTAGACGTACACAGATACTCCTGCTTCCCAGGAAGCTGAGAATGTTTCTGAGTGTTCTAGGATCTTCTGGGGGTAATAATAGTTGTAAAACTCACAGAGCATGGTCTAGAACATGGACATCAGATGTGCCACTCTATGATATCTAAAAATCAGGATCTCAGGGGGAAAAATCGGGTTCAACGGGAAATCACCAATATGCCTGCCAAGCTGACTAAAAACTTTCCATAAAAATATATCCATATATATACACCCTGTGTGTGAGCACGCATGCGCGCACGTGTGTTATAATTTGTTTAAAAAATCATAAAGCATCACTCATGTCAAGCACTCCTAGTCAACGTGTCTAACACCCCCTCCCCCTCACCAATAAGTCCGGAAAGACACTTAAACCAGTGTACATGAACTTAAGTTAATCCCATTAACGGATAGTCCTCGACACGCGAAACTCATATGCCGCAGTCATGCCATGTGATGCGAACAGATGATTGAAACTGTTACTGACAGGCCAGACTAACCAGAACTCGGACGAAGCTTGTTTAGAAAGTAACAGCAGGACTATGAATAATCAATTGTACATAGCAATTGAAACATCTTACAAGTCGGTACAAATGTATATGGAAACACCTGAGCATTGATGGGGTTTAACACACAAACATATTATAAACAGTTCACCCTCTGAATTGAAAGATCCCGGGTTGCACTCCATAAACCTCTGTGAAAAGTGGGCGAGGACCCTCTCCCGCTCCTGCGTTTCTCCAAACAATGAAAACTGAGAGAGAAACTTTCGAAGCGCAACATCCAGAGTGTCGTCTTGGAAGTAAAAGAACTTGAGATACTCCTCTGCCACCAGGTTACTAAAATCATTTCTGAAAAAAAAAAAGGGGGGAGCAGAACACTTCAAAACTATGCAGAGAGGTAAGGGAATTGATTCAAACAAGAACTGGGTATGCAGACATGGCCTTACATCACCAATTGACTCTCCTCCCAAAATAACATTAAAATTAGGAAGAACAAAATATTTTAGAAGCAATTAATATTTGAAAACAAAACAAAGACAAGAATAAAAAATTTTAAAAAATAAATAAATGAAACAACATTTTACACCAAAACAGTGTAACTGGTTCACAAACTCTCCACTGACTTAACCCTGTCCGTACTTCCTGGGGTCATTTTGTACTCCCGGGGTTGTATTCTTCACATTTTAAAATACTTTTAGTACGAAGATCTCTTTGAAACTCAGTATTTCTCAAAAAATCATTTTGACAGACTGCTATGCAAAGCGCACGGATTGGAAAAACTAGTAAATTTCCTCTTTGAAAGTGGTGGCACAGAGTTCCCCACGTCATATGGATACGATAGTAAAAACATGACATACGGACAGGGTTAATTAGATGCTAAAGAGATCAAGAGGTGAAAAGCAGATCAATACACAATTACATGAAAAGGTGTGTCCTCGATACTGGTCCTCAACAAACACAATAAAAGAATAATAGAAGGAATTTTAAGGAACTGTTCACTGAAAAAAATCTCTAACTAAAAAAACAGACTGCAGACATGTAAAAGACAAAATGACACTTTTACTCACTTTTTACATAAATGCCGTGACACATCAGACTTCCGGAATCCCTCAAGATTGTAAAGTCTCTTGGCAAGCCGCTCAGCACTCGGTCTGTCAACAGCTTTGCTGGGCTGATGATACAGGCTTTCAGCATCAGAGTCATCACTTAACACACTTAGCTGCAAAGATTCACCTCGAGCATTGACTAGCATGCCATCGTATGATCTGCTTTCATCAAAACTGTCTTCAGATTCATTGTTCAATGAGTGGTGCCTTTGTGAATTAATGGAAGAGCCCTGGAAATTTGGGTAGCAATTGCTAGAATTGTTTGTTTCCTCCCCCTTTGTATTGTCCTCTGTGGAGCTTTCATCCAAAGTGTCCATCTGTTCTTCTCTTTGTTTGTTGAGTTTTAACTTAATTTGCTTTGAATCTTCTAAACTAATGAAGCCTGGCATGAATTCTCTTTCCCCATTTGTGGCCTTTTCAGACTTTTTCTCAGGAGAGTTATGCAAGCTTCTTGAAACCTGCACTGGTTCTTGGGAAACTTTGTCCAAAGAAGAATCGGAGCTGTCGTGGTAGGTAAGCGTGTCCAAGGAGTACGCCAAATTATCTTCAATGTCAATATTTACAACGGCGATGCCAGTAACGGCTTGCAAGTAGTTCTCATGAGACTTGCTGGTACGTACCAGAGGTCGATCGCCTCCGTCCAACATGAATTTTTCACCACTACTACTGGCAACAATGGTCTGACTGTGAGACGTTCCCTGCCCACTGGAGCAAGTGTTGGTGCTGCAGCTGTCAGATGCGTCTTCTCGTTCGGTCAATGTTTCGTCAGACATGAAACCTTCCCTTTCCGAAAAACACTTTTCAAAACTGGCCATAGTGCCCCGATCTGGCAAGTCCGGATCAGAGGCATGGCCGTCGTGAACAAACCCGCTGTCCCCTGAGCTGAGAGGCTCTGGAAAGGATGCCGAAGTATCAGACAGACCTTCGAATTGGCACCCGGGCAACGTGGCTTGGAGCATGTCCAGCGTCTCCACAGCCTCTTCTAATCTGGATGCACTTGAACTAGGCCCAGGAGTTGCTAATTTCTCCGCCGCCTGGTTTTTGGTCGGAAGACTCTTCGGCGATGAAGATGCTGGATCGTTCCCAAGACCCATCTCACTCTCCGAGCAGGATGACTGAGACAGGTCGGACAGCTCCTCCATTTCCGCAACAGGTGCTTGGATGATGGGGAAACCTGCAGAGTCATTCACCGTGGCTGCCATTTCTCCGTCACGTACAGGACGAGGAAAGCGTGGTGACCCTGTCTGATGATTTTGCTGCGGACTTTTTATTGGCCCCGGTATTTTCGATGATATTTTGGGTGAGGTTATAACACTATGACTTGGCTGAGTTTTATGGACTTTAGTTCGATGAGGCGTATTCTTCCGATCCCCGTGATCTAGTTTTGGTATCTGACTTTCTTTTGCTGTCTTAGAGAGAATATCGTCTTTCTGATCTGCACCTGTTTTCTCGCACACAACCGGGTTTGTATTGGTCCTAATGATCATTTCTCCTGTCATGAGGTACGTTTCAAAGCCTTTCCCTTTCTTAGGAGTGGCTGGGGAATGAACTGTTTTATTTGGACACACGCTTCCATTTTCATTGTTATGGTCGCCAACTGACTGATGCTGCTGCTGCTTAGGAGGGTTGTTTGGTCCATCGACAACGTCCCTTACATAGACTTCTCTCATATGTTCTCTCTCTGGAGGAGGAGGAGTTTTCATAGGCACAGGGATTCGAGACAGACCCTGGCTGGCCCTATCTGCCATTTTCTACTGACCCCGGAAAGGAACATCTGTGAGCACTAGAACCTGAAACAGAAACAAGGAGAAACTTCATAAATAATTATGATGATAATGAAACAGTCATGCACAACTGTTTGATTGCAACAGGTAACCATGCGTTTATATATAGTTAAGGTGACAATGAAACAGTCATGCATTACTATTTGATTACAACAAGTAACCATGCGTATATGGTTAAGATGATAATGAAACAGTGATATATTATATATAGCTTTCTGAGTACAGCTCATGGGTGGCAAAAATAAACCAGAAGACTTTTCATGGGCAATTGTAATCTTACATGCATATCCATGATGCCTGTGGGTCTAAAGAGTTGGACAAAGATGGAGCTATGTCCAGCAAGCCTGACAAAAACATGAACAGCACACAGATTTCTGGTACATCAACAACTTATCAACTTGGAGGCATGCTTTATTTGGACAGAATCAAAAAGCCCCAGACCCGACGCTGAAAAGAAGACTGGAGTGAGTCTCAATACAGTCACTAAATTTGCTGTTGAATTCAAGGGGAGTAGAACTCTAAGGGATGTAGATCTCACTTATGACAATTTATTTACTGACCTCAGGCTTGCAGAAAGTTTAGTAAAAGTGAAAGACAATCTGGCCATCACTGGGGCTAAGTGAAGAAACAAACTGAATACTGCTCATGGAATTTCAGAAAATAGAGCCTGAGTTTGTCCTTAGAGAGAAGAAACTTCTTGTTTTCTTTTCAAAGTAAAGCAAGCAAAAAAAGAGAACGGTCTTGAGTAAACCACTCAGCACTATGCATTCCTTCCCAAAACTGATAAAAGAATGAAAAATCAAACAAGGTAGGCCTATACTCGTCGTTATCAGTAAAAATAACAACAATTAAAAAAAAAAGACTTGTATCAAGCACTATAACTGAAAATCACTCAATGTGCAAATTGCATACTGTTCTAATTAGACTTTTGTGAGACATATTGCCCTGTTATAGAAATAATTTTAAAATAACCCAATTTTTTATGTTCAAATTATCAAAACCCATCAATTACATAAAACAAAAATTAATTTCGAAATCTCATGAATGATTTGTCTGCTTATCTAAAGCATGCATTTTGTTGCCATATAGTCATATGAACAGTTAAATAAGTTTTCACATAGTGTTTTCAAAATCTCCTGCCGTCTGCTTGTTCTATAAAGGGTCTTTTTGCAGGTACTTGCCGACTTTCCACTCTGTAGCTGTTGTAGTTTTATGGGAAAAGTGACACATGTGTTTCCAAGCTGCAAAATATTATATAATAGATGCAAAAGATGGATGTGCCCGTAAGATGAGGGTTGCAAAATTCTGCTGGAAAAAAATAGCCAAAAAAGCCTAAGCAGAGTGTAAAACAATGACAACGATTATCTCTATTTAAAGCCAAAGCCCCCCTCCCTCCCGAAATACGAATCTGGAATACGATTATTAATAATTCATAGATATTATTGGGACATTAAGCCAGAGCTTAACCCCCCCCCCCCCTCCTCAAAACTAGTCAGTAGTCACTTGACTAGTGATTGCCTGCAATACTCTGATCTAATGAGCTAAATTCAAACTTGTGGTTGTTAATTTCCTTGTCCAATTAAATCAATGATGCAATACTGAAGTCAGCTCACTTGTGTTCCTTTCTTTCTCTCCCTATCTCTTTCATGCCTTTTGAAGAGACCATGTAGACTCATTTTCAGACCAAATTCTGGTACCATTCTTCATTGACTCCATTGTAACCACTGGGAGTGTCTCCCTACAGTTAGCACTGATTTTCATCTAAACTCTTTAGCTAGGACATCAGTCTCAAGTCTCAGTGTTGATGGACTCAGGGTCGAGATATAGTCCCCTTCTGAAATATTTCGAACCCTAGGTCTTCAATAGTGTCACTTTCTTTATTCCTTATATTCCCTATCATACTCAAAATTTTGAAAAGCTAGCAAATCTAGGTCAAAAAGTGAAATTGTATGCAAAAGTCATTCTGGTGTTAATGTTTAGAGAGAGCACAGATCACCTGCAAGACTGGACTATTGTTTATTGATCGCTTGTAAGCCTAGCAGTGAACCAATACGGTAATAGTAAAATTATATGCGCATTTTTTACTCCTGCATACAAATCCATTATTAAAAAAGTGCTTGTTGGCTAAATCTCAGTACAGAAAAAATTAAGAGCCAGATGATTAGTGAGATGCACATGTAACGTCATATAAAGGCAACTAGGAACAGCAAATTTTGTCAACTTCTGTGATGTCCATGGTACACCCCAAAGCTAAAAATGTTTAATTTTCCTAATGTACCACATACTATATCACCAGGTAACAAAAGGGTCAATGATTAAGCTGCAATGAACTAAACAGATTTGTGGTTTCACATGTGATAAAGAAATTGCATTATTTGTCCATTTGGTCTTGACTTTGAAAATACCTTTTCCGCAGATTTTAAATACATTATTTTTCACATGAAGCAACAGCGAGCACCTAGCACACCTCTGTGATTGACCCAAATATAGATACATATTTCCGCGATCTATTTTTGTCGTCTTCCGGGGCTTCCCTCGCCAATTGACTAGATAATACTAGATCTCACCGTGGTGGGCCCGCTCTGCTGTCTTGCATGCAATCACTAGGTTTCATTGCCAACTACTGAGGCTGTGTGTGCGCGCACATGTGTGTACAGCTTTGAGGAGAAGGTAAATTCATGGAAATAGAATTGCTGAGATTGCATAAAAGATAACACAAATTAATAACAAAAAAACAAACACGGCGAGATCTAGTCAAGTTACAAGCGAGGGAAACCCAAGAGTCTTGGGGGGGACCCCATTAGACAAAAAATATAGATGGCGGAAATACGTCATCTATACTATATTTGGGCCAATCACAGAGGTGCGCTAGGTGTTCGCTGTAGCTTGACGTTTATTTATCTTGTTTTATTTTTTTTTAAACCCTCTTACTAAACCATGAAAGATTGGGCAAACAGTTTCCTTACACACCAACTTAAACAATGACTGCTCCAAAGCAAGATAAATCGTGAAACAATTATGTCCATATATACTTAGTGGTTTGACCCAAAAAAATAATTAAAAAATGAGCCTGGTAACGGAAGTGGCTATTCTCACCCGGGGTGAGAATAGAAATACGATCGACCTCTCACCCCGGGTGAGACTTGCCACCGTAGGCTATTCTCACCCGGTGTGAAACAAGACCTGTTTTTCCTAATCAAATGGATAAAGGCAAAGAAAAGATTACGTTATAGCACAAAAGTAAGCTAATTTGATCGTCTTCAAAGATGCTATGGCTATTTCACTTTTCGAATCGAGCCGAACTACGGGGGTCGCCATTTTGTTTTGTCCGGAAGTTCTCGCAAGATCTACTCCTCCCCTCTTCTCTCTCTCTGTCTCTTTCTGAATACTGTCTATCGGTGTGGACGATCAACAAATTGATCAAAACAAAGTAAAAAAAATGATGTTAAAACACAAAAAGGTAAATTAATTTGGTCGTCTACAAAGATGCTACGGCTATTTCACTTTTTGAATCGAGCCGAACTACGCGGGTAGCCATTTTGTTTTGCCCGGAAGTTCTCGCGCTACTCCTCTCTCTCTCTCCCCCCCTGCTCTCTCTCTCCACTGCCCACAGACAAAATTGTACGCTTTTAGTAGGCTAACAATAGTAATGGAACGTTTGTTCACGGCACAGAATTCTGCAATTTTTCTGTTATCACAGTGTAGAATTCTGTGGTTCAGGGTGAACGCAAAATTGGTTGGCCTAGATCTAGGCTATAACAGTGAACGGACACCGGGTGAGAATAGCCAAAAGACTCACCTGCGCTATTCTCACAGAGGTGGCCCCTGATAACCCCAGGCCAGGAAGCTGCTGAGGCTTTTATGAGTCACACAAACTAAAAGCCACACGATTGTGCGAAAAGTGAAGCCATAGCTTTAATGTCAAAAGGCAGCACCAATTGCAGTTGTTATAGGGTGTTAAAAAAAAGCATTGCGTAATCATATCACAATAATGTAAGAAAAAGTAAGTAAATGAAAAAGTCTATCATGTTCACAACTTTTTGGGAATATCAAGCAATGGCCTTTTGCATTTTGACAGACAATCTTAAAGCAATATGCACAATGCAGCTTAGGCAGGGCAGTAGAAATAAATAAAGGAAGTAGTTTAAGAGGGGGAATATCAACTGCCATGGGATTTTGGAGGGGAAGGTGTTGAAGGTAGTTAGCACAAACTGGAGTTGTTAGCACAGGGTGTTAAGGAAAAAAACCCCCAAAGAGCATCGATTGCGTTACAATGTAATCACAAAAAAGTAAGAGTAGTCTTTGATGAAGTTTAGAAGTGAAGGCTGGAATTAAGTGGAACCTTGGTCTTGACTCGGAATTATCATATTATGAATGAAGGTAGCTATTCTCACCCGCCCGGAAGTTCTCGCAAGATCAACTCCTCCCTTCTTCTCTCTCTCTCTGTCTCTTTCTGAATACTGTCTATCGGTGTGGACGATCAAATTGACCAAAACAAAGTTAAAAAATGATGTTAAAACACAAAAGTAAATTAATTTGGTTGTTTACAAAGATGCTACGGCTATTTAACTTTTCGAATCGAGCCGAACTACGCGGGTCGCCATTTTGCTTTGCCCGGAAATTCTCGCGCTACTCCTCTCTCTCTTCCTCTCTCTCCACTGCCCACAGACAAAATTGTACGCTTTTAGTAGGCTACAGTTGTAATGGAACGTTTGTTCACGGCACAGAATTCTACAATTTTTCTGATATCACAGTGTAGAATTCTGTGGTTTAGGGTGAACGCAAAATTTGGTGAACGCGCACCGGGTGAGAATAGCCACAAGACTCGCCTGCACTATTCTCACTCCGGGTGAGAATAGAGGTGGCCATTATGAATGGCTCCTTTGATCTAAATCTAGATATAGGTCTAGATCTGATCTAGAATCTAGATCTAGATATCAGGTATGACCGTATGGTTCAAGTTTAAAGTAGATTCTAGTAGATGGCACTGACTGCAACTTCAAGAAGCAATAATGACAGCAGTGATGAAGACTAAGACATTGACTCTGAGTAAAGACTGAAGAGAAAGCGAGTGATGATGAGAATTGAGATCAAGTTGCAGTCAGTTGAGTTAGTTGAAGTCATGAAGTCTTGAAACTTGAAGTAGAATCTAGATTTAGAAGGCAGAAGTTGAAGGAGAGCCTTCTACTTCTATCAATTTTAGTCTAGTCTTTCTGTGACTAGACCTAAACAAATGCAGAGGGATCCAGACGATGGTAGACTTGCATTGTCACTATAATGGTTTGACTGCATTCGATACTGAATCTTTATCATCTATCTAGAAATATTAGAAAATGCGGTTACGCCTTGGGAAAAAAAAAACTGTTGTTAGCCAGTACCAGTAACAATGTTGTCGATCTCGACTCGATGCATTTCCTTCTCTCAAATACCGAAAAAAGTACGATTAACTCAAAGCTACAGATGACAATAAGAAAATGGGAAGAAACACCATGTCTTCGAATAACGAGAAGATACTGCTAGGATGCCGGAATGTTTTTACCTCTAGTAACGAAGCTGTAAGAAATTCACGTAAGTGTCGTTCCGTCTTTCATTCTTGTATACCATTTCGCCGACTTCCGCCATGATAGAGTCACGGAAATTCTCGTTGAAATCATGTGACCTCGGACAGATTTGTGTGCCGTATTCAGACAAACTTTTGTAATGCTTACAAAATCAAATTTAATATTCTCTCATTCAAAATAAGTTTGTAAAATTCAAATGAATATTATGTATATAAACAAAAGAGTATGTAATAGTGTATTAGTACCCCAATTATCTACAAATGAGCTTCATTGTGTAATACAAAATGGAACAAAAGATCATACAATAAATATTGTTCTCAAAATACAGTACCTTTTTTTCAATATAAACATCTTATAAAGCTACACAAAGCTCAAAATATCCATCCTGTCAGGTTTTTTTATTACAATTTCTATTTCAGTAGGTAAATAAACAAATGTTATGAGTTTGTATTCGTCGACGAATTTACAAACTTATTTTGAATGAGAGAATATTAAATTTACGTTTCACGCATCACTGTAAAATGATAGCCTAATGAAGCCAACTGAGAGAATAAACTTCCATATGATTGGTACAGCTTTGTTTGCAACCAAAAAAAAAAAAAAAAAAAAAAAAAATCACCAACCAAAAAAAGTGTTGCGTTCTCGGAAAAAAAATGAAGGATTTGTGTAGCCAAATTGGCAATAGTGACTATGACCTTCTTTTAGTCAAAATTGGGTCACGAGATTTGGGCCATATGACTACTGCAACACACAATATACACAATACACACAAGCAAGCAGTCAAGAAGTGGAAGGAAACAATGGCACAGGCAGCGAAGGAGTACATACTGGTACTGTGTTTTCTTTAAATTTTTTAAATTCAAGGTTCTGACATATATCCACTCACGTGTAATGAGACATTTTTTATTCTCGTTTGAATAGTCTCCACTCTCCACAAATAATTACTTTTATGGAAAGTACGAATCTCCAAACTTCTCTGCTGGAAAGGCTGCTGAAATTGAAACTGAAATCATCATGATAAAAATATAGATCTAATACTAATAATAGGCTGGTGGACTCCGAACTCAATCTACTTGTGGTGGTGTAGTGTTTGATAATGTCAGAAATACTGTAATATTGATACAATGATACAATGACGGCTATCTTAACTATCTAGATCTAATGCCAAATCCCCTGTGTTCATCCGTGACCGTGTCTAGTTTGCTTTTTCATTGTCGACTTTTTTTTACCTGTTTTTATATAACAAGGTAGAGTCAATTGCCACTGAGTGATGCGGTGGCAATTGACAAAAATTGACGGTATTGGTAAGATTGAAGAATACCGGACCAGCGGACTGACTTTGCCTATGTCTCAACCTTAGGAATTCATGATTTTCCCCAGTTTTTATCTCTCAATGGAGAATCTCGGACCCGTAGATCTATTCATAAAATTTTGTCAGGGGGGGGAGACCCCCCTGAAATCCCCTCACCCTCCTCCACCCGCCCCACCCACCCCACATTCTCGCGCGATAATGTATAGCTATCTATCTATGAGTGGTCCGGTATTCTTCAATCTTCCCAAATTGACTTTTTGTCAATTGCCACCGAGTGAAGCAGTGTCAAGTCTGAAAACAACGCTAGATTGATTCTCTATCTTTAGCATTATAATACATAATGTGTGTCCAATGGGTCAATTTGTTCTCAACTTATTTCGTTGGACGAGCATCTAGTCTAGAGCTACAGTACCAACTTGGTGTGTTTTTAATGAGACGTATCTAGATCTAGGCTAGCCTTAGCCTACACTTTGGTGTAGAACCAACACAGGCAATTCTAGAAGTAGGCCTAGAAGGTCACAAACGCACACAAACTCAAGCAGAAATTCACGTTATATCGGGGAACATAAATTGGGGGACGGGGGTCAGGAAAAGACACACACACACACACACACACACAGAGGCGAACGCACAACACTGAGCACTCGAGCTCAATAAGCTAGATCTACCCACAAACGCAAAAGAGCTCCAATTTACTCGGTGGCAATTGACAAAAAGTCAATTTTTGTCAATTGCCACCGCGTCACTCGGTGGCAATTGACACTACCATGTAAGAAGGCCAAGGATTGACGGTTCATATTATTCAGCGCCTTCCCCCCCATGCCAATAACCTGGTCATTATTCCGCCCTCCTGGGGGGGGG